GGCGTCATATGATACAGGTCTGCGTTGTGTCGTCACAGGAAACGCTGTCCCAGTGTAGAAGACGCCGACCTGCAGCGTCAATGCACAGGTCTGTGCTGGGACAACGCTTCCTGTGACGACATAACGCAATGACGCGCTATGGCCATCTGACGCATGCGCATGTGACGACTCCCCCGCTTCAACATACATTAGTATGTACATGTATATACATTCTCCGTCGCCGAGACTATGGGTCTTTTATCACTAAGCTAGGTAGTCGCCAGGGAACGTCCCACAAGTTGCGGCTCTCTGTGGTTCCCTAGGTCAAGAAGACTCTACAAGGGAGAGTGACTAATATACTGTATCACACTATACATTTTTAAACAATTTTATTTTCATGTATGCCTGAGCATTCTTACAGACTAAAGGTATGCTAAGTCACAACATGTGGAATATTTATTCTAAAAGCTTATGAAAATGAATGCAAATATTATAAATTGAATTATCTCAATAACATTTATAGGTACAGGAGTTAATTCGTTGTTTGTGCTTGTCACTTTAAATTTGGGGAACTGTGAACTGTGAATAGCAAACTGTCACCCAGATTCAAAAGAACACGCAATATAGGAACCATCATTTTCATAAATCCATTCAATGGTTCCCCTCCCACGCATTTACATATATCATAGCTGAAAATTATGACACACTGAATCTCAACTACTAAAATACTAATACAAAACTCTCGTAATCTCAACTATTAAAATACTGACAGAAAATCTCGTAATCTCAACTACTAAAATACTGACACAAAAATCTCGTAATCTCAACTACTAAAATACTGACAAAAATCTTGTAATCTCAACTACTAAAATACTGACAAAAAAATCTCGTAATCCCAACTACTAAAACTCTGACAGAAAATCTCGTAACCTCAACTACTAAAATACTGGCATAAAAATCTCGTAATCTCAACTACTAAAACACTGACAGAAAATCTCGTAATCTCAACTACTAAAATAATGACAAAAAATCTCGTAATCTCAACTACTAAACACTGACATAAAATCTCGTAATCTCACTACTAAATACTGACACAAACTCTCGTAATCTCAACTACT